AATCTGGACAGGACGGCCCTTCAGGCCTTTTTTTTATTGTCATATAGTATTACGGGGACAGGTAGTTTTTTTGTCCTGTAGAAGTAAGTGGAAGTAGAAGGGTTTGGTTTTATAAAGCTAGCGTAAAGTAGGTCAAGTAAGAAATTATGATGAAGTCGGAGTGTAAGTCGAAGCAAACTGGCCAAGGCTGCCAGGATAACTCCGGGTTGAATTGTGAGGATCCCCGGCCTCGTATCACTGTGTTTTTTTTGGAATTAATTGTTTCCCAAAAAAAAAAAAGAAGTTTTTTTGTCCGCGAAAATGCCGAAGAAAGAAGAACGTGCGTGGGGTGTACAGGCAAAAAAAAGGAGATGACACCAACCGGCCTTAACTCAATTGGTGCACGCCCATGAACTGTTGAAATACAGACCCGAGTTCGAATCCAGATGCAGTCAGATTTACAAAATAACATACTTCTGAATTACCTAGGGCCGGCCAATTCAATGATGATATCTCGAGGCCAGCACCCTTTTTTTTTTTCTCTTTTTTTTGAAAGGAGGGGAGAAGAGAGAAGAAAATATGTAATTACCTGCTGAGTGGACTGAGAACTAGAACTGTAAACCTTCCTACTTGTATATAATTCTGTAGGCTGTGTGCTGTGTGGACTGAGAACTTTGTTTCAGATCTTCGTTTACTGTTTTCTTTGGTACGCTTTCTTTTTTTTTTTTNTTTTTTTTTTTTTTTTTTTTTTTTTTTTTTTTTTTTTTGTCAGTACGCATTTCATTCATCCCTCGTAGCTCTTTTCGACTTTGGTATATATGTTTGAACCAGCGGCAGCACATGCTGCTTATGAGGGGTTTTGCAGGATTTGACACTGGATTTTTTTGTTGCCGCAGTCAGGGTTCAGCTTGGCCGAACTGCCTTGCTCATCCAACAGACTGCAGTGAATGATGTGAGGGACACTGGGACCGATTCCCAGCCTATTATGAATGTGGTCGGTTTTTGCTTTTTTTCTGAACCACCAGTACTTTGGGAAGTTGCGGCTTGCATGCTGCCAGCCATTGCTAGCCAGGTTTCCACTTGAACGACTTTGTGCCAGCACCCCAGGCCCGATCGTCCCAGCATGTTGTGGCATGCTGGCGCGAGTTTCGGAAGTACTGGTCGTTGACCGAGGAAGAGCCTTGATTTGCTGACTTCTCATAATACAGTCCACCCTTGGATAGAAAGGGCATGGGCGGCAGTGGGGTGTCAGCAGCTGCCGCACACCTGATGGAGAGCCCACCGTTGAGAGAACTCCTCCTCGTATGCTTCATCGAAGCCGTTCTTCGACTTTCAGTGGCTCCAGGGTGGCAGTGGGGCAACCCAATTCTGCCCTGCAATGGGTTTGTAGTGCAGGGTGGTGGTCTCCATTAGCAAGGAGCTAGGATAGAAAAAACTTCGTGGTGCAGGATAGAAAAAAGTTTGCGTGGCAGTGGGGCAACCCAAATCTGCCCTGCAATGAGTTGTGTTTTATGCATATTTGCTGAGAATGGAAAGAGATATTAGTTCCCCTCCTCCTCTCCTTAGCACTGGGCATGTGGGTGCAAAGGGAGCTTCCGGCCAAAATTCGCTCCAGCCCAGGGGGGTATGCCCAACCCCAAAGAGAGGTGGGGTTGGGCATACCCCATGGGATATAAGATTTTGAGTACTTCTTTTACTTTTGTGCAGTAATCTCATTGGTTGAAGCACTCCTTCAGTCACGGAGTGCACGGAGGGCGCCGTGATCACTGCGGACAGAAGTCTCATTATTTGTTGAGAAATGTTGCAGTTATATCTTTTTCACTGTTGTGGCGACATCTGCCATTCGGATCATGTGTGATCTGATGGCTAGGAAGCACTGATCCGTGATTTCTGGGCATGTGGTCTCTATTTCATTTCTTTTTGGTGCCTTTCTGCGGTTTTCTCTGCCCAAAAATTGGTAGTGGCATGTGTGATCCGATGGCTAGGAAGCACTCATACGTGAGTTCTGGGCATGAGGTCTCTAGTTCTTTTCCTTCTGGTGCCTTTCTCCTGTTCTTTTTCTGCCCAAAAATTGGTAATGAACGCCGTCGCCACATGCTGTACACTGGATAGACCATGCACTCTTATCTGGTGCTTGTGGGACCGTGCGGCAGGTGGCACCAAAACCCAGGTTCATTTCTAATGAGCGGAAAGATAACTACTCGGAAAGATCTCTTGACCGGAAAAGAAAGCACGTGGGCGAGGTCTCAGTAGCAAAGAGGATTGGATGTAATGCCCCGATCTGGACTTGTTTGGGGAGAAGTGCAGAAAATCACGATTGATCTTCTTTTCTGCATCTCTGCATAAATCACATCCAGATCCAGGCGCTTAATCCGGTCCTCTTTGCTAGTGGGACCCCGCTGTGGGGCGCGAAGTCCCACTCTTTTTCTTGCCATCGGATCTGAATGCCTCACGGCCACACTGTGGCCACGTTAAAGAAGGCACAAAAGGAAGACTAAACCCCAGCTAGTGGACTTAGCCCCCGGTTGAGAGATACCCAAGGAAAGACTAAAGCCCAGCTGGTGGGACTTAGGCCCTGGTCGAGAGATACCCCAACTGGTTGTAACGGGGGAAGAAGAAAAACCCAAGTGGTTGTAACGGGAAAAGAAAAAGCCCATGTGGTTGTAATGGAGAAAACAACCTCCCGGTGGTTGTAACCGGAAAAAAAACAGGAAAACAGAGAACAATAGTGATTGTAATGGGGGTGAAAAAAAGACCAGTCCTCCGGGACATCCTTAAAGGATTGGAACTATACAGAGAAGATTAACATGGCCCCTGCGCAAGGATGACACACATAAATCGAGAAAAATGGTCCAAATTTAAGAAAGAAGGGAATACTGGAGCGCTGAATGATACAGAGAAGATTAGCATAGCCCCTGCGCAAGGATGACACACATAAATCGGGAAAAATGGTGCAAATTTTAAAAAGAAGGGAAAACTAGGGCGGTGTCACGGTTTCAGTTTGAAAATGCGTTTCAGTCACGATCTCGTGAATGTTGTGCCAAATTCATGAATGTATACAACCGAGCTTTAGAGTCGGGTGGGGATGTGCTGTATTCGAGGGATGCATGAAGTGGATTTAAAACTGAAATCCTGACTGCACCCTACCGGTAGTTACCCCAAAAAAGAAACAAGCAGTTGTGACCCCAAAAAAAGAGGAAAATTATTGCAGTGGTCCCTTCCGACCATCCTCATACTCAAGAGTCGGTCTGCCATGGCTGAGTGGGGGAGCCATGTTCCACTTGCAGGAATACTGGACTAGGATTAGGACACTCCGCACTGTGGGACAGTTGATGGACCCGTTGAAACGTTTGGTTTCTTCGGCAATACGAATCACGGGCTGTGTGGAAGTTGATAGACCCGTTGATTTCGTTTTGATCGCAGGGTCAAGAAAACTAGTCGGGTTTCTCAGGCAATAGGGATCATGGACTGAACGAAAGGGCATCACTTTATTGGTGGACAGTTTTTGGGATGATCCAAGTGCAGCCGCCGGGTGGTTTTGGTTTCGTTTCTCGCATGGTGTGGGGTATGCAAGCAACTAAAACCCCTTGGACATGCAGAGGTCGTGCAGGATGCCGGGCATTTTGTGACGAGCGAAATGATGCCCCAGCCTTAGGGGTTGTGAGAGGCGGAATGGTGGGCTGCCCACAAATGCAGGATGCATGGGTCAGGTGACAGTGCAGGCCAGTGCAGGCCGGATTCGGTTTGGACGTCTTTTCTCATGATTACCTCCCTGCGTTCCCGTTTTCTTTTTCACCCACATTACCGCAGTACAGGTCTAGAAACCAGAACTAACCCCCACTAGTGGGACACAGTCCCGGGTGAGGGTGTTGGGGGTTTGGTCAGCCATGCGCTCACACAGGTCTTCAAACCAAAAGTAAACCCCCGCTAGTTAGTGGGACATGGCCCTGGGTGCCAGTGGCATGGTCCCGCTAGTTAGTGGGGCATGGCCCTGGTTGCCAGTTGGCACGGGGTGTTTGGCCAGTCATTTATCTGTGTTCAATCCTGATACAGAGCGTTGCCTTTTACCTGGGAAAGCAGTGGGTGCCAGTGGGCACTTGTTGGACAGGTGGCGCTTGGGTAGTATCAAGAAGATTGTACATCTATGATTTCTGGACCTTTTTTTTTTTTCTCCGGAAAAACAGTTGTATTCACAGGCCCAGTGCCCAAGGCTTACAGAAAACTGCAAAGATCGACTGTTCAGGGGGTCAGACAAGTACCCACTTGGTGCTTCCTCGCCCAGTCCCAATGCCGTTTATTCCTCAATGAAGTCATCAGACCTCCCTAATGGGCAGCTAACAGGATTCAAGAACGGACTGAAACTGAACTGCCGAAAATCTCGGGGATTTGTCAAACTTTTCAATTGAACAGACTTCTGGACTTCACGATGGGATAGCAGAGCTCCCCCACCCCAAATTCTTCTTTTCAAATTTTCAATTATTTTTTGTTTTTGTCTTTCCAGATTGGCCTTTGCACGGGGGTTAAACAAACCTATTATCACTGTGTTACAGTCCGGAAGGGAGGATGCAGAAATAGCCGTTGTCACGACTCTGAGGCTGGGCCACCACAATCGAAGCACACCGTCTCACACAGGCAGAGGACTCACTGAATTCCTAATTGTGCTGATTGCTCCCTCTTTGGTTGGCAAAAGGATTAACGAGTGTGTTGAGTGTGACACTCTTTGCCGATTTCATCATTGGCGAGCATGTGGTTGAGCGAGGCTCAAGGGACCGTGCGCGCGTGCAGTTCAGCACCCCGCTTTCGCCTCTCACCTTCCATCTCAGCGCTCCTGTGTCTTTCTCTTCCATCCCTGGGGTCAATTTATGTTCAAGCAAAACTTGCATGGGATGTGGGCAATCTAGACACATGTGGTCTTAGACATCATCCAGGTGAAGCATGACCTGAGGGGCAGGCACTTGCAACCTAGAGGGAGATCATCATGAAGGGTGATCGTTGTCGGGCACTTGCTCGGGCTAGTGATAGATGTTCTTTCTCTGCCTTGACACCACCAAGGTTAGGTGGAAAGTGGGTTAATACCGCAAGAAAACAACGCCTTGTTGTGGGGAGGTTCATCATCCAGGCATCAACGAGGATATGGTTAATCTTTATCATGCTCTCCAACTGTTTCATGGGCCGGCGAGAGCCTTGGGGCGCATGCGGCCGTTCATCCTCGATGCCAGTGGCTTGTTGAGGAACTGTTCCGCTGGAGGCAGTCATGTACGTGCATTTTCTGTGGCGGCCGCAGAAGATGATGTCATCAAGGCAGCGTTTTCGAAGCAGCAGCAGAACTTCAGGGCCACGTTGAAGGAGCTTGAGAAAGTGAAAGGCCCAATGGATCCGGAGGACCCAGCGCAGGTGGAGAAGTATGCCAGTATCATGAAGTCCGTCAGGCAGAAGCTTGGTGTTCCTTCAATGTCAGAGAAACTTGGATCTCTGATTGATGAGGCTTATGAATCCTCCCCGGATGTGCGATCCTTCCTGGAAGAATCGAAGCGCATCCGGCAAGAACTTGGGATCGAGGATTACTTAGGAGTGTCTTCGTTAACCATGGAGGCACTTGACCAAATTGAGCAGAAGTCAGGAAAGCGCATCTCTCTCTCGGATACGAAGGAAATGGCCGCATTCAGACAAGAGATTCAAGCCATCAACCAGAAGCTTGGATTAACAGATTCACTGGAGCAATTGGAGCAAGAGGTAGAGCTGGATATGGCGAAGGAGGAGATGAATGAGATGAAGAATGCTGCATCGGAGAAGATGGAGAGTGTCAAGAAGAAGGATGGGCTGGAGTTCATTAATGTGGACCTGAAGACTCTTAATCCATCTGCCTATCTTTAGGTGCGGCATGTGCCGAGTTTTCAGCAACACTCTTGCTACATTGAATGCCTATCAAGCTGTACTCCACTGAATGTAGACCGACCAGTGCCTATACTGATTGCAATATGTGAGCGGCTGTGCTCCTTCCACCGAGCGAGTAGCTTATACTTCTATTAAACCTCCAGTACCTTTCTCAGCTATCAATGCGGAGCCTAAAATCACCCTGTGTGCCAAAAAAAAACAAACCGGCGCGGTCTGGTAAGTACCGAACTGCGCTTGGCTCCCGAATATACCGGCGCGCATTTGATTTTCAAGCGGGGAAAGGCACTGGTGGTTTAACGTGGGTGTGCTCATCTCAGGTAACATGTGTGCGTTCACCTTAGTTTACACAAGAGGCTTTCTGCAACCGAGGGGTTGTGCACTACTCAATGTGGACTGCTGAGCATGTCAACTCGGGCTAGAACGCGGGGGTGGACACGTATGTTCTTGAGGCGAGAACCAACTTTTGGACAATATTTGCCATCGGATTGAACTACCATCTGTTTGTTTTCATTTCACAGCTGTGTGGTCCAAACTGCAATGTGGCTGGCTTTCATCCAAAACTGTCTCTGTCAGAGAGCGGGGCGTCTGTAAGTGCTTTGTATCTAGGCGCAAGCAAGAAGTGGAAGATGATTGAAAATGCGTATCGACAATGTATCAGCAGGTGGAGGAACTGGTGAACATTTGTTTACACACGGAGGGGGAGGGGGGTGGGGGAGAGAAAAACACTCGTTATCCGTTGCTAATGAACCGTGCTCTGGGGGTTTAGTTTAGAATCGTAGTACAGTGTGGCAGGAGCAACATACAATTACCATTGGATCTGAGTGATCTGGGGCTAAGTCCCACAAACTGGGGTTTAGACTTGGTTTGGTGTACGCACCGGTTCCTGCCATGTGGTCTGAACATTTCAATGGGCAACTAACCGTATTGAAGAACGGGCCAAAACCTAACTGCCTAAATTTCTGGGCGTTTTGAACTTTTCATTTGATCGATTTCTGGGCTTTTCAACTGTCACAGGATAACAGAGCTTTATTTCCACAAATTCATGTTTTGAAAATTTCAAATGTAAACTCCAACGAAACAGTTTGTCACAACCCCTCGTTTGTTGTCCTCTTCTCTCTCTCTGCCTACGGTTTACCGGGCAGTTCTGTTTGTGATGATATATATATATCCCTCTCTGCCTACGGTTTACCGGGCAGTTCTATTTGACGATATATATCGTCAAATAGAATTATATACCGGGCAGTTCTATTTGACGATATATATATATATATATATATATATATATATAAGTCGGCGAAACTCCGACGAAACAGTTTGTCACAGCCCCTCGTTTGTTGTCCTCTTCTCTCTCTCTACCTACGGTTTACCGGGCAGTTCTGTTTGTGACGATATATGACCACACGGGAGATTTGCGAATGGATGACCAGGATCATATGGATGAACCCCATACTTGTGCCCCACCCTGTGTGGCCCCGAACGCTCAGGGACTGGAACATGATCTGCTTGGACTGCATTTAATCTCGCATGGCGTAGACCCCACCACGGATTTGCAAATGGCTGACCAGGATCATATGGATGAACCGCATACTTGTGCACCACCATGCGCAGACCCCACGGGTGATCTACAAATGACTGACCAACAAAATCAGCCTGAGATCCCCGCCAATCTCTGTGGTCTGACTGCAACTAATAGTTGCCTTCGCGTTCTCAATCGGCCGTTGTATACACCATCAGATTTCCTTGCAATTGCCCTGCAGCTTGATGTTGATCTGGGTAATCTCGCTGATCCCCCCGACCTACAGCCAGAGCATCGTAATTACACCAGGGAAGGAGGTTTTACCATTGCTGTCCTAGAAATAGTGATCAGGAACCGCCAGCTTGAACTACGCCGTGCTCTACCAGGTGAGGTGTTTAATCCTCCATCCCGCATCTCTGCCTGCATTGTGCATGGGCCTGGCCATTACATGGCTATTGTACACGCCTCTGACCATTGGGAGGTGTGGAACGACGGTGTTATGGTCCATGCCATGATTAATATTACTGATTTCGTACTCTATGATGCTGTTCTCTTGCCACATCAAACTGTCCGCAACCTCCTTTATGTCGAAGATCATTCCTCTGGCACCGTAGTGCAGCAGTACAATGTACAGACACTGTGTGACCTTCTCCTTTGCACAGCCACAGACATTGTTGCACTTGGGTGTACTCGCCATCATCTTTGTCACAATCACTACCACGAGATGGTTTCTGCATCCATGTGTGTACAGGATTGTCCCTCCRTTCCTGACTGCAGGCACCCTCCTCATCCGGACACTATATGTCCATTTTGTGGCCACGGACGCTATGCTGAATGCATGCTYTTTTGTGGGGGGCGTTCTTCCTTTATTCTGGCCTGCAATAGACATGCTATTTGYMAGGAATGTATGGTTGGCATGCTTAATGCCAGCCGTCGTGGTTGTTGTTGTTTTGAGAATGCTCAGTTAGGTCTTCCATGCGCTCATCCACCCCATCCTTACAATGTGTGTCCTTTCTGTCGTCAAGGACAGCCTCATTCTTGAGCTTTTCCCTGTGTTTAACACCTTCCCCTTCACTCTGCCTCTCTCACAGCTGTCTCTTATACACATCTAGATGTGTATAAGAGACAGCCATGCGCTCATCCACCCCATCCTTACAATGTGTGTCCTTTCTGTCGTCAAGGACAGCCTCATTCTTGAGCTTTTCCCTGTGTTTAACACCTTCCCCTTCACTCTGCCTCTCTCACAGCGTGCAAGTGGGCTGTTATGGCATACGGGCATGGGGGCAGCTCGCGCTCAACTTCATCAACGTGGCGAGCCTTGCACGTGAGAGGCACAGTGGAGGTGGAGTTCAAAGAAGAATGAGAAATTTAATGGTTTCAATCTGCCCTTGTTTTTTCTTTTTCTTTTTATTTTTGCATGTTATCACTGTGCCCGTTTCTTGCTTTTATTCTTTGTTCCGCAAAGTGCGCTCTTTTAGTTTGTAGAGATGTGACAAAATATTCTCCGATGTTGCTAGCCCTCTGCTCTTGCAGATTGAGCGGCGAGCATCGGGCCTGTACAACCAGGCACTCACTTTTTTTGTGGAAGACAATTTATTCTTTCTCTTATCTCCTACATCTTTCTTTTTATGTTGTTCTCACCCCCTTCCTTAACGACTCTCCTGCCTCCTTCGCAGCAGCTGTATGCCTATTTGGCCGGTTTCATGGTGAACTCAGCTCCTCCATTGTTTCTTATGACAGATGTTGTTACAAAAGTTCTGCATGGTTGTTTGTCCTTTTTTGGTAAGCTTGGTATTGTGAC